TTAAAGCTTGCCACAGGCACTATTTTTCGTAGATACGCCCTTGCTCTCACCGAACATCAGTGAGATGATCAGATCAAGACCTCTATACACAAGTAGTAGTAGTAGTAGGCTACAAACCTGAGTGACGCAAAATTAATTAGGTTCTTGCTCTTCGTGGTAGTGGTGTGCATGTACATTAATAGCTGTCAATTTTAGAGCAGATATTGTTAATTATAGTTTTTGATCGTGTTGTTATTGTTGTTTTGTTTAATTGTAGACTAGGTTTTTTTACGTCCGCATTGACACAGCAATTTAGCCTATTTCATTCAGGAGGAAGGGCTTCGACCTAGGCAATGCTTCGACCCAAGAGCTGCTCATCATAATCAACCGGTGCCTTGCCGACTAGCGTGGACGATCATGGACCTCCATTTCCCTCTTTGTCTTGCTAGTATCCTTTCCCTCTGTCTGCCTCTGCCTCTCTTTCCATCAAACTTGCCTGTTGTTAAAATATTCTCCAATGCTTCTTTCCGTTTTGTGTGTGTCAAATGAAATTTGTCTGTCGCTTTCGTATATTCGTCGTAAGCTGTCGTCTGCAATTTGCTTCAACCAAGACTTCTTCATATTTTGTTTTCCTGGCTCTCCTTGGGATACGCAGCATGCGTCTTATGAACCACAACTCGGTCGCCTCAATTGTTCTTTCCAGCCGTCTGATGATTGTCAATGCTTCGCACCCGTATAATAGGATTGGCTCGATGTAAATTTTCAGTACTCTTTTTTCGTTTTGTTTCCAGTGACAGATTGGTGTTTGTGAGTATCTGTTTCATTTTGTTGAAGGTAGCTTTTGTTTGGCAAATGCAGCTTTTTGTTTCCGTGTGACATCTCAGATCTGATGATATAATGGTCCCGAGATATTTAAAATATTTTACTTGCTTGTTATTATTTGGTGGTTTCCCTGATTTTGATCTCGCAGGTTGGGGTTGGAGTTTTTCTGCTCATCACCATTGTTTCGGTTTTCTTGATGTTTTAGGCTTAGGCTCACGTTGTCATTCTCTTGTACGATGACATCTAATAGATTCTGTAGGTGTTCTTCATCTTCTGCTATTAGGACTGTGTCGTCTGCATATCTTAGATTGTTTGCATTATGTCCCCCTATCGAGATGCCTGGCATTTCTTCTATGTGTCTCATGATATTTTCACTATACAGGGAGAACAAGTCTGAAGAAAGTATACATCCCTGTCTGACTCCTCTTTTAATCTGTAGGCCTGTGTATTCGCTGATGTCGTTTTCTATTCTTATTGCAGAGGTTTGATCCGAGTACATGTTCTTGATAATCCTTAAGTCCTTCCCGTCAATATTGAGGACTTCTAGCATGTCGATGATCTTGTCGTGCCTAACTTTGTCTAATGCCTAAGTATAGTCTAAAAAGCATAAATGAAAATCTTTCTGAACTTCCAGGGTTGCTATTGTTGTTCTGATGACATATAATAGCAATTTACAGTTCCTTTGCCTTTAATAAATCCACACTGTTCTTGGACTATTTCTGGGAGAAATTTATTTCGTATTCTCATCATAATTATTTTACGTATTATTTTTGTTACGTGGCTCATGAGGCTGATGGTACGATGAGTTTCACATTCATTTGCTTTATGTTTCTTTGGAAAAGCTATGAAGGTAACTTTTGACAAGTCTGACGG